GTTTACTCGTTAGAAGCAGGATAGGCTTCTTTAAGGAGAAAGGTTTTCAGGGATCGTCTAAAGATGGATAGATTAGGAGATAGCTAGACAGATTGGGGTAGGGAGTTCCATAGGATGGGAGAAGCTCAGAAGAAGTCCTGTAGGTGAGCATGGGAGGAGGTGACACTGGAACTAGAGAGCAGAAGATCTTGGCAGGATCGATGAGAGCGGTTTGGTTGATATTTTGAGACCAGGTTGGTGACATAGCTGGGGGTTGTGGATGGCTTTGTAAGTTGTTAGTATTTTGAATTTTATTCTTTGGGTTATTGGAAGCCACTGGAGGGATTGACAGAGAGGGGTAGAGGACACTGATTGGAGGTCAGTGGAGGGATTGGCAGAGAGGGGTAGCAGACACTGAACGGTTGGTAAGGTGGATGAGCCTGGCAGCAGTATTCACGATGGACTAGAGGGGGGATAGCCTATGTAAAGGTAAGCCAATGAGGAGGGAGTTGCAGTAATTGTAAAAGTGCAGTGAATTAGGAGCTTTGTGGTACCATTAATTAAAAAGGGGTGTATTCTGGAGATGTTGCAGAGGTTGAGGCGGCATGATTTGGACAGGGATTGGATGTGGGCCTGAAAGGATAATTCAGAATCCAGAGTTACACCTAGCACCCTGGCATGTGGGGATGGGTTGATATTTGTTCCATTGATCTTGAAGAAGAAATCAGGAGAAGGGGCAGGTGGGGAAGGAGATATTATGAGCTCAGTTTTGGATAGATTGAGTTTTAGGAAGTGGTGTGACATCCAGACTGATGTGTCTGTTAGTAAATCGGTTATATGTGAGGAAATTCATGGGGTGAGCTGAGGAGTAGATTAACCTCCCTAGCGGTCTGATTATGTCCATATTTCTGTGCTCAAAGCGGTATATTTTTTTGCATGGGAATATGTAGTTTTTTTTATTGCAGGCCTGTAATTTTTAGGAATAACTCACTGAAACTGTCTGAACAAAAGTCTAGTAAACATCCCGGGTATGATCAAATTTGAAACACAAAATCATAAATTATAATTTAATAAATAATCATAAAAAAATAATAATATAATAATAAATTTAAGTTCGCACATCACTGAGCAAAGTCGCAAAATCGTTTTCAGTGTCTGATGATGAATTCCCCCACGAATCATTATCACTCAATTCTGCAAGTGATTCTAATTTACTATCGCTGTTCTCTAGCTGGTCTAAAACCACTTTTGACCTAAAGGGACGCTTTTTGGACGCCATGGACATTTCTCAGTTTCCAGGCAGAAAGAACAGTAAAAATGCAGGCAGGGCACAGGACAAAGCACTAGGGACAAAATGTATGTGAAATGGTTTGATACAGTAATGTTTTACTATGTGATTTTAGTGTATTTAGTGAATGTCACTTTTACAACTTTCAAATTTCCCTCCAGTTCCATCCCCCGTACGTCGCGACGTCGCAGGGGACGGAACCCAGAAGACAGATGCCAGCATCGGCCAGAGGACATTGCAGGGGACGCTGCAGGGAGGACATCGCAGGAGCGCAGGACAAGGTAAGTGAAGAAGAGATAGCGGAGTAGCGCTGCAAGGTATTCCCGAATGTAGCTCGGGGTTACCGCTTGTGGTGCTGAAACTTTACCCCGAGCTACACTCGGGAATACCGCCAGGGAGGTTAATGGATTAATCTTTCCATTGTGTTCAGTTGGCCAGACTTACTAAAGGAGTAGTGGCTGCTCACTTAGCAAAGTGAATGTTCTATTTGTAAAGTGAATGGTCTAATAACTTAGTAAGTGCCCTGTCACACTGGTGAGATTTCAGGTGCAATTTGCGAATTGAAATCGCACCTGAAATCGCTTCTAATTAATGTGAATGTCAGTGTCTTAACATTTGCTGCGATTTCCTGCAGAGCAATTTCTAAAGTTGTTCCTGCATTACTTCTTCTGCAGTTTTGATGCGATTTCACATACATAGAATATAATGGAAATCGCGTTGCAAATTGCAAACATTCCTTGAAAATCTTTGCAAGTAGAAATAAAGTCTTCAGAAATCTCACCTGAAATTGTGCTGATATTGCATGATTTTAAATTGCAGCGGTGTGACCGGTGACTCAACATGATGAAGCTGTGCTGACTTTGAATATCCAATCATGTGCAAGGTGAATAAAAAAAAATTTTTTTTGCTTGCACTTGATTGGATAATTCTAATAGAACACAGTTCTATTACATTCATAAAATGCATAGTTCACCTTTACCAATAAACTGCCTGTGCAAATAAGCGATGTCTGTAGATAAAAACGGCTGTGCAACTTTACCCAAAATATATCTATGTATCTATCTATCATCTATCTATCTATCTATCTATCTATCTATCTATCTATCTATCTATCTATCTATCTATCTATCTATCTATCTATCTTACAGAATCTCTATTCATCTGTTTATGTATCTATGTATCTATGTATCTATGTATCTATCTATCTATATCTATCTATCTATCTATCTTACAGAATCTCTATTCATCTGTTTATGTATCTATGTATCTATGTATCTATCTATCTATCTATCTATCTATCTATCTATCTTACAGAATCTCTATCCATCTATCTATCTATCTATCTATCTATCTATCTATCTATCTATCTATCTATCTATCTTACAGAATCTCTATCTATCTATCTATCTATCTATCTATCTATCTATCTATCTATCTATCTATCGTTAAATGGTAAAGTGGTACAAACTTTTTTCCCCAGCACCATTTAAAAGCAGCACTGCACAGTTACCCTAAGGCTGCTGCTGTGCCCGTCAATCACAGACATAGTGTACAGGGCCAATCTGAGCGGCTCTGTGACAGTATGATTCTAAAGGCCCAACTCACCCCCCCTTCCCCAATTAAATTTGCATTACCAGTGATCCCACTTCTGAGTATGGGGGAGCTATTGGTCTGATGCTGCATCTGTCCCCTGCCTGCTGTAAGTGTGAGAACTCAGCGATCACATGACCGCTGATCACTGAGTTCTTACCACCGCTTTGAGCAGAGAGCTGGGCTGTAGAGGGGGAGGGAGCGATTTAAGCAGATCATTGAGAGGCTGAGCCAGGTGCCGCTCCAGACTCTGGGGAGGATCCTGACTTTAAAGTTGGGATCTTTCCCCAGCCTGGAGGTGCTGAGTGAGGGGCTGTCAGCTGAAAACGGGTCACAGGAGTGCAGAACGAACTGCACTCCAGTGAACCAGAGGGGAATACAGCCAAAAGAGCTTTGGCTGTACGTCTCCTTTAAGAAACCAAAGTGATTCATTTATAATTGTGTAAACTTTCAGTTTCTCTGTTAAAACCAACTGTTTGCTAACTTCCTATTTCATAATGTGTGTTCATACTTGGTAAACAACGGTTATTCCGAATATTTTACATTCCTTGCAGATATTTAATCCCAATATCCTTCATGTCAACAAACTGGAATGCAAGGTGATACAGTCAACTGGATGAACTATTATTTTTCTAGATTAGAACCTCAGAAGTAAATTCAAGTTAATTGTTATGGTCAAACCTTCAATTGTTCTTTCCTCCAGTTTTCATGTATGCTCAGCATAAGCTAACTATGGCAAACATGCTGTTGTGAGTGTGTGCTGCCTTAATATACTGTAAACATGTAACTTCTTTCACTGAATATAATATTCATTAGTCTACCTTTAATTAAAAATGTCACAAAGCACTGAAGTGGTCACAACAGACACCTAATGATGGCCTCACACAATCAGACTTTGTTGATCTGACAGGTCAGTAAAATTGTATATATTTGTGTAGTGTTATTGTTTAGCTGACTGTATGCAATTGTAATGAATTGCTTAGGTATGGACTCACCATACAGGTTTTGGTAATTGTTGTTATTGTAGCTATAAAGGTCATTGCTGTCATGCCGCTGGCTCTACTAAGTGGTGTTGGCCCTGGAATTGTTCAGAGCAAAAAGTATGTTACCAGCTAATCAAGGATCTTCAGTACGGGTCCAAAGCTTCATTCAGCGATCACATCATAATTTCAGAGGCAACGTTTCAGAGCCACGTAGGACCCCTTCATGACCTCTTGGACCATCGTCACCTGCCTGATGAAGGGGTCCTGCATGGCTGCAAAACATTGCCTCTGTAATTATGATGTGATCATTGAATAAAACTTTGGACCTGTTCTGAAGATCCTTGGTGTGCTGGTGACATACTTTTTACTTTTAATATCTTTGTTTTTTCAGCCGGTGGTCACTTATAATCACAGCCATTTTTCAGGAACATGTACATTGAGAATTGTACATTTGTACCCCGGAACTGTGCAGACCACATTACATGGGAGATCAACTAGTCACAGCTCAAGGAACCCCTAGAAATCTGCGGAGGAACCTTATAGTTCCATAGTGTCCTGGTCAACAGTCGTGGATCTAAAATATTAAATATAATAAAAGATCTGACTGTAGCCAGCTTAACACATGGCAAAATATTTCAACATAGCACAAGGGTACTAAGTAACCCATCATTTTACCTTTTGTGTGGGTCTTGTTTCGTATTTCAAAACAGAATCACCTAACCCTAACACTATGTCTAACAATAGTTTATTATATTAGTTGGTAGTTATGTGGCATTTTCATTAAAAAGTCCTGAATTCAATAATGACTCATACAGTCAAATATTTTTTGTTGTACCCTTTTAACTCATTCCATAAAGTAAGTGGAATCACAACATGCTAAAGAAATGGAATAAAATTTTTGAGTGTTTAAAAATGAATTAATGTAGGGAATGGATGCCTGACTAACACTAGATTTTTTCATCACGAGAAAACTGCAAAAAAAGTACAGCAGCATCTGCATCCTTTGTTGGAGTATTGAAAGTAAAGATATATACTTGGTATGTAATGCCTTAGAAGCTCGCTGCACTGGAACTAAGGGGACAAGCCCAACCCCTGAAAAACAATCCCACACCATAATCACCCTATACCAAACTCTGCTCTGCATTGCACTTGGTGATGTAAGGCTTGGATGCAGCTGCTCGGCCATGGAAACCCATTCCATGAAGCTCTCTACACACTGTTGTGCTAATCTGAAGGCCACATGAAGTTTGGAGGTCTTTGGTTATTGACTCTGCAGACAGTTGGCGACTTCTGCGCACTGTGCGCTTCAGCTCTGTCATTTTACATGGCCTACCACTTCGTGGCTGAGTTACTGTTGTTCCCAGTTGCTTCCACCTTGTTATAACACCACTAACAGTTGACCATGGAATATTTAGAAGCAAGGAAATTTCATGGATGGATGTATTGCATACAAGCACGTGGGGCCGTACAAACTATTGAGTACCATTCTGAGCTGCTGCAATTAAATTTCAGCAAAATGGACCAGCCGGCTGCATCATTTTTTCACTTTGATTTTCATGGTGTTTTTGAATTCAGTCCTCTGTAGGTTGATTAGTTTTTCATTTTCATCAAACAATGGGGCATCCTTATGTTCCTAACACATTACCCTGTCCATATCATATATAGATATCCAACATGATATTTTTCCCCAATAAGATCTGATGTGTTTTCAAATTGTTCCTTTAATTCTTTTGAGCAGTGTATATATATATATATTGCACAGGTGGCAACCTATCACAGTACCACACTTGAATTCACTGAGCTTCTGAGAGCGACCCATTCTGTCACAAATGTTGGTAGAAGCAGTCTGCATGCCTAGGTACTTGATTTTATAAACATGTGGTCATGGAGGTGATTGGAACACCTGAATTCAATGATTTGGAGGGGTGTCCCAATATAGTGTGTGTGTATAAAAATATATATATATATATATATATTGTATATTGGCAATGAGGATATATTGGTATTGTAATTAAAGATGAGCGATTTATTCAAAAATTCGGTTCGGCTGATTCGCCGAATTCGCCGAATAAATTCGCTTCGAGCCGAATATATTCGCTGCGAATTTAACTTATAAAAAGGGTGTTTCTAGGCTTCAGAGAGCCTTTATATTAGTGCAGAACACTGTACCTTTAATTTAAATGCCCTTGGAGTCTGCTGGGGAAGAGAAATAATACTGTCAGTCAGTATGACATGCAGATGAGTGCCGTCGATCTTAGAATCACCGCACACTTCACTCATTTGGGCAGTCACGGGGCCAAAACCAGAGTGTGGAGCCACAGTGTGGCGGTGGAGGCAGCAGCAATGGGAGGCCATACAGCACCCTATGACAAAATGGAACCCACCAGCAGTGTGAGGAGACCTGAAAATGGCACATGGCAGAGTGTGGCGATGGAGGCAGCAGCAATGGGAGGCCGTACAGGGACCCATGACACACTCTGGACCTGGCAGCAGCATGAGGAGGCGGTACAGGGGCCCATGACAGATTACGGGCCTGGCAGCAGCATGAGGAGTCGGTACGGGGGCCCATGGCAGATTACGTTCCTGGCAGCAGCATGAGGAGGCGGTACAGGGGCCCATGGCAGAGTGGCGGAGCGTAAGCAGCTAAAATTGAAGGCCATACAGAGGCCTATGTTAAAAAGTCCCCCCAGCAGCAGCGTGGGGAGACGACTATCAAGAGTCCAATGGCAGAGTGGCGGAGCAGAAGCAGCTTCAATTGAAGGCCATACACAGGCCTAGGTTTAAATGTCCCTCACAGTTAATTCCAATAACGAACTCTACTCCTCTGTGCAATCTACTTACGAGACCCTGGGCAGGTCTGGGTCCAATTTGTGGTAGAGACTGGTTTTGTTCAGCCATGCTTGAGCGAGTAATAATAACAGGTCTGTGCTGCCCTTTGGTGTCTGGCTTAATGCGCACAACACTGAACGTCCCAGCGTTTGTCAACGATTTGCCGTTAAGTGATGCAAACCCGCTGAACCACGTTCATGAGGAGCCGGTACAGGGGGCCATGAATCAGTATGGACCTGGCAGCAGCGTGAGCAGACGACAGAGGCACATGGCGCAGGGTGGCGGTGTAGGCAGCATTATTCTGAAGCCATACACAGGCCTAGGTTAAAAAGCGGAAGCCGTCAGCAGCGTGAGCAGACGACAGAGACACATGGCGCAGGGTGGCGGTGGATGCAGCAGTATTCGGAAGCCAAACACAGGCCTCGGTTAAAAAGCGGAAGCCGTCAGCAGCGTGAGCAGACGACAGAGGCACATGGCGCAGGGTGGCGGTGGAGGCAGCAGCAATGGAAGGCCATACAGCACCCTATCACAAAATGGAACCCACCAACAGTGTAAGGAGACCTGAAAGTGGCACATGGCAGAGTCTGGCGATGAAGTCAGCAGCAATGGGAGGCCGTACAGGGACCCATGACACACTCTGGACCTGGCAGCAGCAAGAGGAGGCGGTACAGGGGCCCATGGCAGAGTGGCGAAGCGTAAGCAGCTTAAATTGAAGGCCATACAGAGGCCTATGTTAAAAAGTCCCCCCAGCAGCAGCGTGGGGAAACGACTATCAAGAGTCCAATGGCAGAGTGGCGGAGCAGAAGCAGCTTCAATTGAAGGCCATACACAGGCCTAGGTTTAAAAGTCCCTCACAGTTAATTCCAATAACGAACTCTACTCCTCAGTGCAATCTACTTACGAGACCCTGGGCGGGTCTGGGTCCAATTTGTGGTAGAGACTGGTTTTGTTCAGCCATGCTTGAGCGAGTAATAACAGGTCTGTGCTGCCCTTTGGTGTCTGGCTTAATGCGCACAACACTGAACGTCCCAGCGTTTGTCAACGATTTGCCGTTAAGTGATGCAAACCCGCTGAACCACGTTCATGAGGAGCCGGTACAGGGGGCCATGAATCAGTATGGACCTGGCAGCAGCGTGAGCAGACGACAGAGGCACATGGCGCAGGGTGGCGGTGTAGGCAGCATTATTCTGAAGCCATACACAGGCCTAGGTTAAAAAGCGGAAGCCGTCAGCAGCGTGAGCAGACGACAGAGACACATGGCGCAGGGTGGCGGTGGATGCAGCAGTATTCGGAAGCCAAACACAGCTCGGTTAAAAAGCGGAAGCCGTCAGCAGCGTGAGCAGACGACAGAGGCACATGGCGCAGGGTGGCGGTGGAGGCAGCAGCAATGGAAGGCCATACAGCACCCTATCACAAAATGGAACCCACCAACAGTGTAAGGAGACCTGAAAGTGGCACATGGCAGAGTCTGGCGATGAAGTCAGCAGCAATGGGAGGCCGTACAGGGACCCATGACACACTCTGGACCTGGCAGCAGCAAGAGGAGGCGGTACAGGGGCCCATGGCAGAGTGGCGAAGCGTAAGCAGCTTAAATTGAAGGCCATACAGAGGCCTATGTTAAAAAGTCCCCCCAGCAGCAGTGTGGGGAGACGACTATCAAGAGTCCAATGGCAGAGTGGCGGAGCAGAAGCAGCTTCAATTGAAGGCCATACACAGGCCTAGGTTAAAAAGTCCCCCCAGCAGCAGCGTGGGGAGACGACTATCAAGAGTCCAATGGCAGAGTGGCGGAGCGGAAGCAGCTTCAATTGAAGGCCATACACAGGCCTAGGTTAAAAAGTCCCCCCAGCAGCAGTGTGGGGAGACGACTATCAAGAGTCCAATGGCTGAGTGGCGATCTGGGAAGTCAGCGTTGTGATTGCAGATGCAATGCAGAAATTTTATGAGGTAATGCCGTGGGTGCGAAGAAGATCATATCTCTTGAATGACCGGAGGCTAATGGAGAATTCTAAGATGGCCGCGATTTACAGCTCCACCATTACACAGTGCTGGCTGGCTGCTGATTGGCTAATGCGATCACATGTCATGAATGCATTATGGGTCAGCGCGCCTTGTCTGCGCGCCTTCCCAGAGATCCCCGCCCTATCTTCTCTGTCCATTTTCTCCGTCGCCACACATGTCGCCGCCATTTTTGGGAAAATTCGATTCGTGCATCCGAAGTTTGCTAATCTTTGGATTCGTCGCGAATAGAATTTTTCCAAATCTTCGGAACGAATTCCACTTCGTCATGTTCGATTCGCTCATCTCTAATTGTAATACAAATGCTTAGGGAACCTCAGCTGAAATACTAGTGTGGTGCTTTCTATATGGCCCATGTTGAACAGGTTATTCACTGGTTGTAGTGTTTGGCACCCCTGATCAGAGTGTAAGAAAAACTAGAAGTGCAAAGTAAGGAGGAAAGACAAAGAAAGTAAAAAAGTGAAAGGGTAAGGTACAGAGAGAGAGATATAAATGGAACAGAGGAGATAGCAATTGAAGTTGGGAAATAAAAGAGTAGAAGACACAATGATGTATTTCAGGGGCAGAATATGCACTGACCTGAGTAGGACTATTGCTGCTACACTCCGTATGTTAATGATATTCCCGCAATCATCACCAAACTGGTTTTCATTCAAGCTGTCTTACATTTGCCATAATTGAAGTTAAACTCTGGTTGTACAAATTTGGACACAAAGCATTTGGATTTTTTAAAACCAATATCAGAGTAATACATAAACGAATGTTGGCAACATGGTGAAAATAAACAAAAATCTTCTTTTTTGAGAACAAGTAGTAAAATGTTCCATAGACCCACGCTAATGCGTTTCAGTCCAGAAGAAGACCTTAATCATATCTATTGGGAAGCAGATGGAGACTGCTTGTCTGGCTCAGTGAAGCACCATACCACTGCCTGACAGAGAAAATCAGGTTGGAGCACTTTAACTGTGTGGGATAATATCGGAGTAATAGGTGGCAGTGTTTTTGTACTAAATTTGAGTGGAGATGTATTAGAACACTTGCATTTTTATTGCTGTGTGTGCTTTCTCTAATTGTCCTAAAGTTACTAAAAGTTTTCACCGAAAGTGAAAGTAAAAGAAAATCCCAAATTTTGGGCTCTCCCAGAACAAGGATAGTGGAGATCTCTTCCAAAGGGTACACTAGTTCTGGTGACCTCAAAGACAACAAGGGATTCCTTTGCTTTAGAGGGATTTTCTCTCACTTCCTTTTTTGGCTTTGGTACAGGAAGTGTAGGGAAATCTCCCCAATGGGACACAGATGGCAAAAATAAACTTTATAGGGGTTATACTCTTCCTTACTTTATCTACTTTAAAAGTGAACTCTGGGATACTACTAAACGCGGTCATGCAACACTGTACCCATATGAATTTTGTACCATTTTTTTGAGACAGATAAAGCTTTATTTTGGTAGTATTTATTCACCGCTGGGATTTTTATTTTTTTTGCTATGTAAATGAAAAAGTCCAAAAAGTCCAAAAATTTTGAAAAAAAGTGTATTTCTTATAAAAGTTTGCAAATAAATAATCTTTCATCATAAATCTTTGCCAAAATGTATTCCGTTATCTTTTTAGTAAAAAAAAAAAAAAAATAAGCCAAATTAGTTTATAACCAAAAATTATAATTATTAAACTTTTTTTTTACATTTTTATTTTATTTTTTTATATTATTTATTTATGTATTTATTTTTACATACTGTCACCCTAGCAGTACAGTGTCACCATGGTGACACTGTACTACTTGTGGGGGGTGATGAAGATTTTTTTTTTTTTTTACAGCGATTGCTTTTATACCCATATAGGATGTAAAAGCAATAATTTCTCTTTCTCTCTGTCTGCATTCTTGCAGCCATTGAGAACTACTGAGTGAGCTGTGATTGGTCACAGCTTGTCACATGGTACAATGCTGTTGTGAATAGCCTTGTACCATGTGATCTCTGTGATCATTCACAGATTTCACACATAGTAAGCAATGATATCACCAGTGACATCT